AACTGAGGGGAAATCATGAGATTATAGCGAACATGTGAATATATGTAGCCAACATGTTTTCCCATCAAGATTCGAGGCACAAATAATATAAGGGAACAGTATCATGCTAACACAACGTTTAAAATGGTTTCAGTGTTTTAATTTATTTTCAGTCAGTATAACGTTGAAGGAATGAGTAGTAAGACTTGGAAATTAGTTAGCATTTTAGCACTTATTTGGTTAACACAAGCTCAAGATACTTTCATGTTTTGTTCTACATTATACAGTTTTTCAACAAAAATCCCACTGGTGAATATATGAAGCTTCTACTTGTCATAAAAACAGCAGTTGCTAACAAGTGGCTAAATGAGACTACTAAACGTCATCACACGAGCAGTAGCGAACTTTAGCTTAGCGGTGGTGATGCGCAGCAATGTGACTGATTTGTTTGTAGTGTAACATTAGTTTTTTACTTTTGGTGATTGCATTAAGGCTTCATAAATCATTAAAGTGGTGTTAATATGTGGAGATTATCATGCTGAACTAAACATGTTAAGTTTTATATATTGAGTTTATTTCTGGAAAATGTCTAAATCCTATGGAATAATCCCATTGTGTTTCGTGGAGTGAGCCCTTGCGATGCTAACCTCCGGGTCGGCCTTCAACAATATGTCACCATGCACTACTCAATACTAAGCTAATATTAATGTATTTATTTTTCTGTGTCCATCCACAGGGCGTAACATGCTCCTGGTTGGTGTGGACGGGCCCAAAGTCCCCTGTGAGGAGATCCTCGTGAAACATTTGGGCAGCCGCATGTACAACGTGAGCTACCAGCTGAAGGAGAAGGGAGAGTACATCCTGGTGGTGAAGTGGGGAGACGATCACATCCCCGGCAGCCCCTACCACATTACTGTCTGAAAATCACAAACGTATACCACTGTTTAAAACAACTGAAATTCTATCTAGAGTCTAACCGATAATTGTTTACAAGTCCCTCAAATTAAGATTTCTGGCTTTCTTGTGTGTCTTATTTTATAACATTTTAACCAACTACAAAATAAACCCTCACATCAGTTTACCCTCGGCCAGATCTCTGTTTTTCAACAAGTTTTAACATCATCACTGTAACCCAGTCCAGGATTTCCCAAAGATGAATGCATGGACAAACGTTTCTGTCTTTATGGTCATTTCTTGTTCTTCTGCCAATCACATCATTAAATAAAGTGAGGGAGGGATTAAAAAAAGATGCACCTTTTTTATATTATGGTCAGCCATACAATTGTGCCTTATGTTTTATGTTTTCCATTTTCAGTCATGGACACAAATTGACATTAGCAGATTAGTCTGAATTGTGTACAGTGATAGGATAGCTTAGCGTAGTGTAGCAGCAGTAGATTGTGAGCCCAGCGCTGGATGGAAGGTTACTGTTTACACTGGAGGAGCTACCCTTACACACATTAATAATGGATTCCCTATGAACAATGAGAGCACCTGAACCAAAGTGTGTCAGAAGTAAGATTTGACATACCATGGCATACTTTGATCTAAGATCTTTAATTGTCCATATAAGTCGGATGAAACGCTTGGCACTGGTCCGGTCCACTTCAGCATGTGGTTTTCATGATGCTCTTCTACTAACCCCGTCGTTTTGCCTGCTGCTAGTGTGATCCAGTTTTAGGCACTGCTGTTCTTAAAGCCGTAATATGGATTAGAATAGAAAGTAACCTGCTTAGATTTAAGAAAAGGCCACATGTATGTGAACTCATTTAACTAAAGCTTACTCGTGGTTTATCTCACATGCTTTTTGTGTGTTTTAATGGGACACATGTGATCTGCATGTTCATTAAAAACGCTTTTGATACAGGAAGCCTCTGATTCAGATCAACATGATGTGTTAGTGGTGGTTCACCTTCGAGTATGGAATCAATTAAAAGGTTAAAAAGGGAAGTACTTAAAAAAGTTGTGTTTGACCGAATGGCTGAAGATGATGTGCCGAATGTCGTGAAAACTCGAAGACCAAAAACAAAAGAGCCACCCCGACCCCCCCTCCCCTTTATCTTTCCAGCTCGCTTTGTGCATAGTCTATCTTTCAGAACAAAAAAATGAATCTTGTCATAATAAATCAAAAAAGCTTTAAAAGTGTTTGTAAGACAGTATTTTCATACACAATAAAGTTGTCTAAGTATTTTTTTGTCAATGAAATGGCTGTTTCTTTCTTTAACATTTCCATCAAAGCCCTATTCTGCTCATGTTCAGGTGTTTATCAGTACTTAGTGTCTCTACTTTAAAGAGTCCTCTCTTGCTCATGTTCAGGTTCATTACTGTATTTAGGCCTCTACTGGGACATGTCTCCATGCTTTAATGTTCAAAAAGCTCTTTATTTCTCTCTTACTGCCTGTGCTGCAGCACCTCTTTTCACCCTCTGTCTGAAACCAGAGCCCAGTCTGCTCTGATTGGTTAGCTGGCTGGCTCTGTTGTGATTGGTCAACCGCTTAGAGATTTCCAGACCCTTAGACTATCACGTACAATGTGTTGGAACACTAGCCAGTAACATGCACAGAAACCTACAGGAAATGGAGAACGATAAAAAGCAGAATAGGGCCCCTTTTAAATTAATGAATGAATTATACATTTGAAAAAAGGTCTCATAGTAGTGTGTGAAATCTGTAATTTCTTAATCGTTCACAGTGTTTCTCTCTAAATGTTCTCAACAGTAACTGTGGTGAATCACAGAGTAAGAATGGGAGTAATGTGTGAATTACAACGTAAAGTCTGGAACCAGTCTGCAGCCAACGCCCTTCCTGGAAAACTCCAACTCCTTATTAGGCCTGACTCTCCTCCTCCAGAGGCCGCTGCAGGACCAGGAATCTGACCTGAGACACAGCAGAGTTCACAGCATTGTTTATTCTGTGCTTTGAGTAGGCGTGCCTTCTTTATGCTGCCATAATATTGAATTACATAACTTAGACCAACCTTCTTTGCCCAAGAGTCTTTGTCTAAAAGCCACAGGAAGTAACTACATACTGTATACTAAATAATGTATACTAATCAACTACAGAGTAATTTCTCATGTCATTCTTGAACTGGTGTTTTTCATAAAGATTAATAAAGAAATCTCTGTAAATGAGGTTGATACCGATTACAGCAATATTACATCATTCTCAGCAGCTGCTTTTATCATAATACTTCCATTTAAGGTCAGTTGCTGGTTTTGGATCATACAAACTTCCCAGAATGATGCAGTGGCAGATTCTAACTGTCTGAGGGGCAGGGTTATAGGTCCAGGTGAAAAAAGAAAAAAAAGAAAACTTTCAAAAGAAAAGGCATTATGTACAAACTGTTAAATGAATTGTTGAAACTTTCTGTTGATTTTAATATGAAATAGACCTCCATAATTAATTAGTACCGTTTAGAGGACATTACTTAACATTGCAATGTGGCTCTTCAACAACTAAAACAGTCAACAAGAGTGTATCAACTGTTTAAAAATAGAGATGTCTAATTAAAAAATAAATAATGCCAAAGGTTTATCCCAACCACATACAGAGGTCTGGGTCTAGACCTGAATTTCCTAAAATCTTAGAAAAAAGCCTATGAGCCGCCTCTCAGTCAAGTTTAGTTACGTTTATTTGATTGGTTTAGTTGTCAGGGACCATGTACCAAAAGAACATACATTTCCTGGGCAGGTCAACACAAAATACAGCACATACAATTCCATAACAACATTGTATCACATGATAACACAACATATTTCATGCACATGCGCTAAAACTAATACACTTCACACTAAACAGGGCAATTTGTCAGGTTTGTTCCAATGGAAGGGCACTGTGGATGGCACTATATTTTCTCTAAAAGAAGGGCCCTTTGCCAAGTTTTATCCTCCACAGAATTATCCAAGAGGGCTGCTTTTTTGAATGGGCAATCGTGGGACTATAAATGTGTACTTTTAACATAATTTGTGTCATAAACATCAACTTTAAATCTGAAGAAAAGCTGTCAGGCCTTTTTCACTTCTCAAAGAAGAAAAGCATATGCTACTAATCGTATTAACTTGGCAGTGGCGACTGGTCATTAGGGGGCAGGTGGGGCATAGCCCCACCTAGTGTCAGCAGAAAGTATTACAAATAATGATTACAAAAAAACTGTACATTGCTGTTTTAGTCTGTGTTCTTCTAATTAGTGTCTACAGTGTGTGCCTATTGAGCTGTTTAGAGCCATGTGGGACAAAACCCGATCATGCCCCTCCCTCTCACATGACAGAGTATTTTCCTATTTAATGTGTGTGGCAAAAAAATAATGACCATAGGGGCACTCAGAGCCATATAAACGAAACATACTACCAATAGAAATACATTGCTTTTAAAATCTTTCTGTGTGACACGAAAGAAAGGGGAAAATCGTGTTGGTGAACACGAATCAATAGATTAAATTAATTTCGTGACTAACACGAAATGCCGTGAGACTGGGTTGGCCTACTACATGTTTTATATATAATTATTGATATAAATAGTTACTTTATTACTGCTGGAAAGCTTGTGAATTTACTCCAGGTGTAACTAAAGTCTAATTTAAGTGTTGATTATATTTCACATCATTAACCCAAATCTGTAAAGTAACTAAAGGTAGCCTATTAAATACATGTACTGGGGTAAAAGTACACCATTTACCTCTGAATCTTAGTGAAGTAGAAGTACAAAGTAGCATTAAATGGAAATACTCAAGTAAAGTACAAGTACTTCAAACTTGTATACTTAAGAACAGTAGGCTACTTGAGTAAATGTACTTAGTTATTTTATACGGTATAACCCTTCATGGGTTTCATACTTTGGCACGTTAAAAAGGTGAAAAAGACTGGTAGTAATCCATTAAATAGGCTTTAGCTCCACTCTGCGTATTTCGGTGCACTTGGATACCACATAATTATTCTGTGTATAAGATAAAGAAGCAGTGGACTCATTCCAGAAGGAAATGCGCAGTCCCACCGAGGAGGAGGAGGAGGCTCGTAGTTCTGAAGGTGTGCCAAGAAACGTCCTACGGATGTGTGCCTCAGCTACACCCACTCCTGCTCCCTGCTCCACAGCAGCTGCTTTACACTCTTTTCAACTCGTTTGTCTTTTCAAAGGTAAGACTTATACACTTACTTTAACGTTAAGCTTAAAGAACTATTTCTTCCCCCTTTTAATCGCGTGCGTTTTAGACGCGTGCAAGATTTAAAAAATAAAAAAAAGCCGCGAAGTTTTATGTCGTTATCAGCTTTGAGAGGTTATGGCCAGACAGTGGCCGAGGTGGAGCAGGGAAAAAAAGGGCGGGACAGAGTACTTCAAATGTTGCCTTCACTGTGGGCGCAGTGTCCGTCCACTCGGTTTCTGTTAGTTCCAGTGCTGTAATGTAACCAAGTATATTCACTCAAGTACTCTACTAAGTAAAACATTTTAATTGTATTTTTAGATGTTGCTACTTTATACTTTTACTTCACTACATTTTGTAGGCAAATGTTGTACTTCTTACTCCACTACATTTATTTTACACAACAGTGGTGGAAGAAGTAGTCAGAACTCAGAAGTCAGATATTTAAAGTAAAAGTGGAAATAATACAGTGGAAAAATACTCTGTAAGTAAAAGTATGCAAGTATTTGCATGAAAATATACATAAAGTACAAAAGTAAATTCGTAATTATTGTGCGTAATATCCAATTTTAGAATTATATATATATTAATTTACTGAATTATGATTATCCATGCATTAATGTGCATGTGTTAATTTCTGCTGGTAAAGGTGGAGCTAATTGAATGACTTTATATACTGCTGCTAGCCATGTAGTGTAGACATTAATTCAAATAAACCCCACTTGGTGCTTAAAATAGCCATTTTGCATTACGCATACTTCTGGTAAAGTATTCTTTTATGCTAATACTTTTTTACTTTTACTTTTACAATTTTGGATGCTGGACTTTTACTTGTAACTGAGTATTTTTACACTTTAGTATTGCTACTTTTACCTTAGTAAATAATGTGAGTACTTCTTCCACCTCCTGTTTCTACTTATCTGTTTCTACATCTATCTGATCCTATATCTGTCCCTTGGTCTGTCTGCAGATGTCTTTGAGAGAGAAAAGTGACGAGGAGCTCAGCAAGTTGCTCTCTGAGTATGGCATCAAACATGGACCTATAGTCGGTAAGAAAGTTCCCACATTACTGACATAATGATGTTTAACTAGTGGTAAGTGTTGGAGGGAGAACTGTTATTATACCATTATGATAATTGTGATAGAGAAAAAAAAGATGATGTTATACAGAAACAATGACAGCCTCAATGAGTTCACTGTCATTGCACAGACCAAAATAGTATTCACAGTTTTCACAGCAATGTTTAACATATTTTTCTAGTTGCTCATGTTTTTCCTTACCTTTTGAGTAATCATCTGTTTTATTCCCTAAACTACATCTAATTAAAGATTAGATATAATCAAACTCCTAATCCATATTCATAAAACACATATTCATTTGACTTTTTCACATGATGAAGCACTTTAAATCTAAGGTTGCGGTCGAATAGTCCAAAAATCAGCTCCTAAGTTCTATCCCTATCGTCTATCCCTTGACCTCTGTGTGAAACGTCACGGGGTTAAGGGATAGTGGATAGGAGAATTCAAAAGGATTTAGGAGAAGAGACTGCGGTACTTTAGAGAATCCGACTGCACTTTCACTATCCGATGTGTTTATGATGCGCCAGCGGAGGTCATAAATGTGCGTCTGCTGCTGTGGGGAAACTATGGAAACTACAGTTTTCTATACAGCGGACTACAACATGATGTATAATAAGAACGAGGGACTACTGTAAACTCATCTAGAGACTCTGCACCGTGCTCTGATGCTGTTGTTTTATGCTTTATGAACGTGGACAACAGAGAAACATATTCTTCATGACTAAAGTTGGAATTGAAATAAAAAGGAAAGTGAAACTTATGCTCGTCACCCTCTCCCTCCGGTCCACATTAATACAAATAGGCGCTTTCACACCGCAGTACTTTTCCCACAAAGGTTCATCAGAACTCTTTAGTTCTCATGAACAGATCGCGTTCACACCGGAATAAGTCCCTGGGGAAGGATTAGGCAAATGAAGCCACTGACGTCACTTCTTCTTCTTCTGCTTTGGGTTTACTGGCAGGCCACAAACAACTTCACGGCGTATACTGCCACCCGGAGTCCCCGGAGTTGGGGACTGGCTTCAGTAGAAGCTGCTGGGACTCCCAGCAGCTTCTACTGAAGCCTTCCGAGTAAATCGCCAGAACGCCGACACCTCCTCATCTCCACCACTCCCATGTTTTCTTTTGTGTTGCCATAAGTTAGTCTCTCTGCGTTTGTGCGCTGGGCTAATGCTAATGCTAATAATGCTAATGCGAGGATAATAAAATGGCGGCTTCACAGAACTTTTTGGGAGTTTTACGGGGCGTGGTTTGCATTCCGCCCAGCCAATCAGACATAGGAACCTTTTTCTCCCACGAAAGTACCTGCTCTCTAGCAGGGACTGAAAACTGACGGAAAAGGGGGTAAAAAGCTTCTCATGAACAAATTTGAGTTCCGGCTCTTTTTGGTGTGAACGCGACATTTCGGAACTATATCGGAACTAAAGTGGGAAAAGTACTGCGGTGTGAACGCGCCTAATGATCCCAATATGTATGATTGTATGAAAAGATTTTAAAATCAATACAAATGTATTTATTAAAAACGTTAGTCCTTAACATCTATCACTGTGTATATCACCATTCAAACATCTTTTAAAAGTTGAACAAACCCCACACAGCTCAGTAAAGACTGTGAAATGTTGACTTTATTTGATCATTTCAGTAAAAACTAACGTTCATATTTCTCTTTTTGATTATAATACTGATGAACGTTCAAAACAAAGCACTTTGGCAATTTACCACATACGTTTTAAAATGCTTAATAAGCACCGTAACTTTCATGATATAATTTCTCAGTCATAATCGGTTGTTTCCGTGAATGGCCGAATGTTGTGTGACGGCAAATGCTGCGGCTGCAAGGCATTGTGGGGCAGCATTTTCTCCTTTTCTTTCGTAAAGGGAGGTCCAGTGGTTCCTAAGCTAAAGGAGGTTATAAAGGAAGCTTGAAACCTCCTGTCCTATCATCTAGTGAATTGGAACGGTGCTTATCATGGCTGCCACTGAGGGACTTCCGGGTCATTTCACTCCGTTAGGAAGGTTCCTAAGCTAAATGGACTATTCGACCGCAACCTAAATCTATATATTTTGTGTGTGTGTGTGTGTGTGTGTGTGTGTGTGTGTGTGTGTGTGTGTGTGTGTGTGTGTGTGTGTGTGTGTGTGTGTGTGAACAGACTCTACACGGAAGCTGTATGAGAAGAAGCTTGAGAAGGCCATGGAGGACGCTCCGGTGGAAGTACCCTCGCCTGATAAGACGTTCTACAGAGAGGAGGGTATGCCGTTTGTCACTGGATTCATATTTATTTGTGGGTCTACAACGGAGTCGATGATGATGGTTGGCACCAGAACATTTAGGGATTTTAAAGAAGCAGGTGGATAGTGGTGGGGGGTTTTGATGTTTTGCATGGCAATATTGAATTGAGCTCTTATTATTGGTCTTTTTATTGTATAAATGATTAATATGCACAGACAAATGTAACTTTTTTTTTGGTGAGGTCAGCGGAATTAGCAAGAAGTTAGTCAAAACAAATAGAGATATAAAGAAAATAATAATGCACTGGATTGTTATTGCAATACACAGCACGGACGCATAATAGTACTTTAGAGAATCCGACTGCACTTTCCCTATCCGACGTGTTTATGATGCGCCAGCGGACGTCATAAATGTGCGCCTGCTGCTGTGGGGAAACTATGGAAACTACAGTTTTCTATACAGCGGACTACAACATGGATGTTTAATAAGAACGAGGGACTACTGTAAACTCATCTAGAGACTCTGCACTGTGCTCTGATGCTGTTGTTTTATGCTTTATGAACGGGGACAACAGAGAAACATATTCTTCATGACCAAAGTTGGAATTGAAATAAAAAAGGAAAGTGAAACTTATGCTCGTCACCCTCTCCCTCCGGTCCACATTAATACAAATGATCCCAATACGTATGAATGTATGAACTATGAAAAGATCTTAAAAGCAATACAAATATATTTATTATAAACGTTAGTCCTTAACATCTATCACTGTGTATATCACCATTCAAACATCTTTTAAAAGTTGAACAAACCCCACACAGCTCAGTAAAGACTGTGAAATGTTGACTTTATTTGATCATTTCAGTAAAAACTAACGTTCATATTTCTCTTTTTGATTATAATACTGATGAACGTTCAAAACAAAGCACTTTGGCAACTTACCACATACGTTTTAAATTGCTTAATAAGCACCGTAACTTTCATGATATCATTTCTCTGCCATAATCGGTTGTTTCCGTGAACGGCCGACTGTTGTGTGACGGCAAATGCTGCAGCCGCAAGGCATTGTGGGGCAGCATTTTCTCCTCTCCTTTCGTAAAGGGAGGTCCAGTGGTTCCTAAGCTAAAGGAGGTTATAAAGGAAGTTTGAAACCTCCTTTCCTATCATTCCTATCATTAGAACGGCGCTTATCATGGCTGCCACTGAGGGACTTCCGGGTCATTTCACTCCGTTAGGAAGGTTCCTAAGCTAAATGGACTATTCGACCGCAACCTAAATCTATATATTTCTCCAAAGTCGATGCAGAGAAGTCATATTGTGTACATTTCTGTAATCTGTGGTAAAGATATTGAAACAGGCTGTGTGTGTGTGTGTGTGTGTGTGTGTGTGTGTGTGTGTGTGTGTGTGTGTGTGTGTGTGTGTGTGTGTGTGTGTGTGTGCGTGTGTGCGTGTGTGCGCGTGTGTGTGAACAGACTCTACACGGAAGCTGTATGAGAAGAAGCTTGAGAAGGCCATGGAGGACGCTCCGGTGGAAGTACCCTCGCCTGATAAGACGTTCTACAGAGAGGAGGGTATGCCGTTTGTCACTGGATTCATATTTATTTGTGGGTCTACAACGGAGTCGATGATGATGGTTGGCACCAGAACATTTAGGGATTTTAAAGAAGCAGGTGGATAGTGGTGGGGGGTTTTGATGTTTTGCATGGCAATATTGAATTGAGCTCTTATTATTGGTCTTTTTATTGTATAAATGATTAATATGCACAGACAAATGTAACTTTTTTTTTGGTGAGGTCAGCGGAATTAGCAAGAAGTTAGTCAAAACAAATAGAGATATAAAGAAAATAATAATGCACTGGATTGTTATTGCAATACACAGCACGGACGCATAATAATTCAAATCGTTGGGCTGCCGGTGATTCTTGTTATACATCCTTAGTCGGGCACCAACCGATGGTTATCTTTGTTATTGATTTCATTTTCCTCAATACAAGTGTCCTTGGGCAAGATACCAAACTACACAATCACTCGTGTAGGCATGTCTACAGTATTCACGTGCATGTAAGTCGCTTTGGATAAAAAGGGTCAGCTAATAACATGTAAATGTATTATTCTTCATCTTATCCTTAAACTTTAAAAGTCAGTAGAGTCGATAAATCTGTGCCAAATTATAATTATGAGTCTTTTTCTTTACAGCGGAGGAAGTAACCTACATCACATACCACCACAGCCCGGTGAGTCCTGATGTCCCGTCATCCCTCTGGGTCTGATTCCTCTGTCACTGTAAATAATCTCACAAACTTCTGCTTTCATTTCACAGGTCAGACAAGAAGTGTATTCTGATGGGTGAGTAGAGTCTTTACAACCACACACACACACACACATACCATGTATACATCACTTCAGGGGACATTACATTGACTTACATGCATTTCCTGGAGACTTATCCTAACCTTAACCATAACCAACACATGCCTAACCCTAACCCTAACCAAGTCTTCACCCTAAAATTAATGATTCCCCTTATGGGGACCTCCATTTTGTCCCCATAAGGGAGGCGAGTCCCCACACGTGACTGTGTAAACAGATGTAGGTCCCCACAAGTATAGTAATGCTAGGTCACACACACACACACACACACACACGTAAAAAACCTGATGAGCCTGTGAGGTGGCACAAACCAGTTTATCAGTAACCCCCTGTTACTGTGTGTGGCTGTTTAGGAACTTCCAGAACACCTGCCTGCCCCAGGTTGTTTGTCAGTTAATTCATTGAAGTGGGGTAGGCATTTGTGGAATAATGATACATCATTTAAGAAAGGAATATTTATACAATGTGTTCATCATGCAATTTCACATTTGAATGTGAAGTGAAGGATGATATCCACATACCAACATCACTTTTAGGATTTGTGAAGCGTAAATGCAATATCAAGTAAAAAGCTAAAGTAATGTTCTAAACAAACACACATTATAGTCTCATGGCTGCACCGTAAAGCTAAAGGCAGCTAATGTTTCACTTGTTAGCAACTGCTGTTTTTTAAAAGAAAATATTTAGCTCATCTTTAGGTTCATATCAGTATGTAGTGTCTCTCCTGGGACGTGTCTCCATGCTGTAATGTTCAAAAAGCTCTTTATTGTTCTCATACTGCCTGTGCTGCAGCACCTCTTTTCACCCTCTGTCTGAAACCAGAGCCCAGTCTGCTGCTCTGATTGGTTAGCTGGCCGGCTCTGTTGTGATTGGTCGACCGCTTAGAGATGAGTCGGAAATGTCCCGTCCCTTAGCATATTACGTATAATGTGTTGGAGCGCTAGCCAAATAGGTATAATAGGACCTCTTTAAGATCTTCAGACATTCACCAGAGGTCAACTACTGACGCATTTCAATCTCGTAGAACAAAAACAAAACATGAACATCCTTTTAGCATGAGTTAATGACAGGTCTTATTTCAGGCATCTAACCATAAACACGTTCAAAAACCGTTGACTTCAAGAAAAGCTAACTGGAAGTGGTGAAATGCTGACTTATTTCTATGTTGGCGGACCCATTCCTGCACCACTCTATTGCCTAATTGAAATTGAATTGTTAAATGTTTCTCCATTCAGTGTGAAACGTAGAGGCAACGCTGAGCCAGATGAAGAGGAGGAACCGGTCCAATACACAGAGTAAGTCTATGGTCTAAAAACGAGTGCTGTATTTGTAACAGTTTCATCACCCGCTCTAAATGTCTTCCTCCCTCTGTGCGTCAGGCCCCCTGTCCAGATCAGTAAGAGAACAGCCAATCACAGCGCAGCACCAGGAATCAAGGAGCCTAAGAGGGAGTCGGGCTGCAGCGTGTGGAAGGGGGTCCGGCTGCTGCTGCTGCTAGCCGTGTTAGCAGCAGCCCTCTACTACGCATATTGCCGGGTGGTCAACAATGAAGAGAATCCTTTTGGGATTCAATGATCGGATGTTATCATTCCATTCATTCTCCAATAGTGTCAGCAGTAGAGAGAGTGACCACATGCCGTAACGGCTGGAACATTCTAGTTCTCTTAGTGTCACTAAGTCAGTGAAATGAACAAAACCAGACAGAGTATGATCTGTGTAGGAAGAGCCTGATATGCTATTCCCCCGTGTCAGTGTTTCCCCGACCGTTGTATTGGGAGGGGGGCTATCAGACTCCCCTCCCCCTGACCAACAAGAAATTATTGATTTCAATCATTTGTCTTTTATAATAAATATATATTTTATTGAAATGGTGTCCCTAAATCATGTTTAGTTCAATTACTGCACTTCTGAATGTAGCGGTGTTATTTTGGCGGGGAAGGTTTTATTTGTAGCATTGATTGGTCCAACTTGTGAGCAGATTGCCTGTCAATCATACAGGTCATATTGTTTGTGCTTTGTTAGGTATTTGACAATGCCTAACAAAGATCTCTGTTGGATCCAAATATCCCACAATTAAAATCTTTGAATAGCTTTTAATACACTTTGTGGATGTTTTGTCTTTTTCTTGCCTACGTTTTTTTTTTTTTTTTACCTGCACCTTTAGATTTTCATTGAAATGTGTACTTTTGTCCTACAAAGGCAGTGCACAATTTCTCCAGTGTAACGAGAGACACATTTCCAAAAACCATACCACGTCTGAAAACCATAGCTTGCAACAATATGTCGTTCACTGGTGGTCGAGGTGACCCAAAAACATAACTCAAGAAGCAGACCCACAAATCTGACTGTTCCTGCTCTCATTTTTGGCTATTTTTGTAATAAATGTGAACACCAAGCCTGTTCCTCCAAGAACACACACACACACACACACACACACACTGTAGTATATATTGACAAAGTCCCACATACACCATCCTCTGGCCCAAATGTACATTAATCCATGTAGATTAATCCGCCACTGAAAATAGTCCCAAACAAAGTTTTCCATCTTCAATAGAACCAGTGGGCTTGTGGCTGAGAGTGACAGACAGGTTAGGGAACCATTAGGGAAGAATTAGTTGATAATAGTACAAAATAAAGAATAATGTACTCTCCTTTTCTTTGCTTTCTTGCATGGCATGTCAAACTATGTTTTCCCTGAGTGCAGAGACCAGGTTAATCATTTTTTATTTTGCAATTGCTCTGATTTGTTTTTACTGTAAGATACAGTATGTGATAATATCATGTGGCGCAACAGGCTACAGGCCGTCTTAATAGCGCTTCCAATCAAAAATCAAAGGCTGTTGTGTAGTTGGGTTAATAAATATGAATGTATACATACGTTCCCCTGCTCTGAGAGTTTTTGAGCTTTCTGTAAAAAAATCATTGGAGATGAATTCCTAAAGGATGCAAACATGCAATCGAGCTCAGAACAAGAGTTACATATTTGCAGAATAGAAGACACGTTTCTATTCATACTGTCAAATACTAAGTACACATACAACTATTTAGTTACAAAACTTAAGATTTATTCCAACAATCTAACATGTGAACAAAAATATGTTATATTTACAAGATACAAATAATTGTTCTGCATTAGTCTGTTGGAATCTTATTAGCTCACGGCAGTGGTCATGTGATTGAGTTGAGGTTGTTGGTAGTCAATCGGTGGTTGCATTGAGTTCAACAGCAGTGAGTGGAGGTTAGTCCGCGGTCCCTGAGGTTATCTGGGTTTCCGCATGAATCCACAAAAACCTCTCACCGCTGATGTGATTGTAGATCCATTGAATCCTTTCAGGGTGATTCAGCTGGTGGAGCAGGGAGCTGATCAGAAGTTACAAACGGCTGCTGCCTGTCCCACCATTAGTCTTAGCTTTGAAGACTTTGAGATGTCAGATAAGTCTTTGTTTTGCTCCCGTGACAGGTGGCTGAAGACTAAAAGCCTGAAGTCTTGTTGAGGTCGTTGGGCAGGAGGGAGAGATGATGCTCTGGCAACATCACAGGTGACACTGGTGACCTGGGAAGTCAAACAAGAACAAGCTTTACGACATACTGTAAGAAAGGCTTCTGGACGAGATTTGTATATTTTGAATTGTCAAAATGTAAAGACAAATGTTGGCATTTACATGCACTGATACTGCAAGATAAAACATATTTCCTCTTTATGCTAAACATCCTAAATGTGTTCTTGTCAATTTCAATTTATTCTTGACATTTTGATTTGTGGACATTTTGATCCACTTTTGGACTGTGTTCTCGACTGCCATTTGTTCTCAACACTTCCTCCTGTCTTTGTTCCTCTCTATCCCTTTATACTCTAGTAATGGCCTACCTGACAGTATATCCCTCGAATCCCAGTGCTGTGATGAAGATGTTGACGAGGACGGTGAAGAAGACGAACAATGTGGCTGCGTTGTTCATCCTGTTTAACTTGGCGTGTTTCCTCACATCGTTCAGATCGTACTTCACTGCTGGCACAGAATCACATAGACCAACAAGGAAATGAGCTGCATAAAGCTGATGAGCCAGAGGGGCAGAGAGAGAGGCCCAATCCCAAACTGCCCCCTACACCCTACCCCTAAACACTCCCCCTTCGTGACGGAATGAACTCCGTGGAGTGACACTCGCAGGCGCGTTCACACCGGAGTACTTTTCCCCCGTACTTTTCCCCGTACTTTTCCCGTTTAGTTCCGTTAGTACCCCTTATGTCGCGTTCACACCAAAAAGAGTACTTAGTGACGGGAACTTTTACCCCCATTTTTAGTGCCTGCTAGAGAGGTGGTACCAAAAAAGTACAAAAAAAGTACCAATTTCGAAAATTAAGAACTAAAATAAAACTCCAAACCTCTTTAATTGTGTTACTTTTTTGTAAAGCTCTTTGTTTATAAGCTTCTTAGTTTTTGCAACAGTCTGTAAATATACACAACTTTATAATAAAATGCACACATTTACCTTTTTCTAGACTAAACACAGGTACGATCCTAAGTTAGAAAAAGATGAGGTTATCATGAGGTTGTTAACATCGCAGTTTATCAGTGGATGTTTGCTGGAACTACTTGTAAACAGCGTGTTTCCTGACGGACACACACAGCGTGACTCCGGTCAGGTAGAGACCAGTCTCCAGTCAGCACCGCTGCAGACTCGCTGTTTGAGGGCTTGATAGCCCACTCCCCCTCCACACCGCTCCACACTCGTTGGTTTGGAACAGCACTTAATGTGGCGGACCCTCCGCGCGAACGCGCAAACGGAGGGGTAGTGTAGGGTTGGGGTGTAGGGGGCGGTTTGGGATTGGGCCACAGAGACAACCGTATGACTTTTTATTTAAAGGGGACCTATCATGCTATATTTAAATGATATATTGTAGGGCCATACCTATATAAGGTATATTTATACGTTTCTGTTTTCAAAATACCAAACAGATAATGCATTTTAGCCATGCCTCATTTCGCTCTATGTGCTGTTCTCCAGCACTGTTTTTGCAGGGGGCTGATTCTGTGAGCTGCAGCTGACCACGCCCCCCTGCAGGAGAGGGGAGCGTGCTCTGATCAAGTCAGAAGAGGGGGAGAAAAATAGATCTCCGTCCTCCGTGTTTTATTATATTATTATATAGAGTCGTTATTCATTTGTTTTAAAGCTCAATAAATAACAAAGAAAACCTTTGACCAGCACTTTTCTAATTTTGTCCGGAAGATTTAAACTTTAACGGACATCTTGACCGGCGAAAGAAAACCTAACTGAAACTCTGCCGCACTGTCCCCTCGTTCCTTGGAAGAGGCGGAGAGGTGGGTGTTTGTCATCTGCTGGTGGACTAACCGGAGAGAATTACAGTGCTTGCCTCGATGGGGAGGGATTGCATTGAATTAAAGCAGCGGGAGCAAACGCTAGCCTCGGGGAGGAAGAAAAAAAGCCACAGCGGAGAATAAACAGAAGGGTAACCATGGTAAATATGGGCGGGAAGTCTTCTTCGCTGCTTTTGTGGCAGACTACAGCGCCACTTACAGGCCTGGCATATGTACTACAGCGTCTCCAGCGCTTTCGAGCGGCAATGGCCGGCCGTGGCCCAACCCCACATTCCCCTGATAGGTGGAGAGTTGGCCCAATAGCCGTAGCGCCACCGTCCTGACGTCAGGACAGTGTTCAAATCTGGATCAGTTTTGATCAGATCCGTTGCAGCCCCTTTTTTAGAGATTTGGGTATGGAGGAAAATAGAGAGGGTTGTGTTTTCTGACACTTGGTGAGTTCCCTGGAACACCGGGGACACATATTCATGTATAAAAGACGTACAAAAGTGCATTTTGCATGATAGGTCCCCTTTAAGGAAACTGGTGTTGTGTTTTCATGATGAGACAAGGATGGAGCTTGCTTTCAAATTGGATCGCCCTCTCTTGATTGATCACGGATTACATATAACTAGATTAGGATCAGGATACTAAAAAGAAAGGTAACTTTATTCCCTTACAGATAGATTTAAAAAATGTGTAATCAGATTACTGATACATTTTTAAAAAACGGGTTATTAGGAGGATTACAAAGTTACAAAATATATATATACATATGAGTAGCTGGACACCTGATTTATTATTCAAAAATACTGTGTTTGCTTTTAATAAATGTTTTAAACGAATTTGTAAACTCTACTATTCTGTGGGCCTAGTTTAAAAACTAAGACATTTTTTATACAAAACACCCTGTTTTCTTCTTAGATCATATTGTGTTGTTGCTTTACATAATAACCTTAAGTAGAGAAAATATGATTATTATTTATTTTCTCTCTTATCTGCATTGCATTTGATATTGAGCTACAGTAACCATACAGTAGCTGAAAGTAATCAGGTTACATTACTTTTATATTGTGATACATAGATGAAGTTACTGATTACATTGTTTGAAATGTAAGTTAGGTTACATTTTTTAAGTAACTCTCTTAAGTTACTCTGTTAAAACACATGCTTTTGATTATTTTCACCTTACACATTTAAGATTCCAGGATCAGAGTTCTGCATTTAAAGTTAAAGGGCGATGGAACAGAGGGAATAATAACAATGGAGATGCAAAGAGTGACTTACCGATAAAGACGAGGAGAAGCCCCACCATCACTTGTAGAGTGATGGACAGAGACAGCAGCACGAGGAGGGGCAGGTAGAACCGGTAGTGAGGCCCCACGTAGAGGACGCTCTTCAGCTGGGACGAGTTGGCCATCAGCAGGGCCACGTCCAGCATGCTCTGAGCCGCACTCTTCTTCGTGGCGTAGTGATTAATGTTCATGGGCCGGCACGCTTTCCCATGGGGGGCTGGCCCCGCCTGCAGGAGAGGAGAGGAGAGGAGAGGAGAGGAGAGGAGAGGAGAGGAGAGGAGAGGAGAGGTATTTTTGGAGAGGAGAGGAGAGAGAGAGGAGAGGAGAGGGGGGAGGAGAGGTATGGTTGGAGAGGAGAGGAGAGGAGAGGAGAGGAGAGGTATTTTTGGAGAGGAGAGGAGAGGAGAGGAGAGGAGAGGAGAGGAGAGGAGGATGTTAGGTTCCAGGTCACACAGGTGCTATTTTACAGCCATAGTCACATGGATGAATTACTGGCCATATAAAAATCGAACAATTGGACACAGGCACAGGGGCCAAATGTGTCAGTGGACCCCCTCGTCTTCAACTAGAAAATATAATTTGAAGAAAAAGCACGTACCAGCTAGCTAGAGATACAATGAGACTACAAAAAGACACACAACAACTACAAGAGACACAAAACAACTACAAAGAGACACAAAACAACTACAAGAGATACAATGAGACTACAAAAAGACACACAACAACTACAAGAGACACACAACAAGAGACACAAAACAACTACAAAGAGGGCCAAAACCCCCACAAAAAGAGCAAAGGTACAAAGTGACACAATATGTCAATAAAGAAACCCAAAAAACATGAGAGATGCATCACTACTACAAAACTAAGCATCTGTTTCCTGCTCCTGTGTAGGACAGGGGCCTTGTTTTATTATCTGCCATAACCTTTGCACACACTTTGCACACACCCATTTGACAGCATGGGATAAAATGGCTAACAGTGTTATTTGTTCTCTTTCACAAATCTGAATTCTCTGTGTTCATGCGTCACAAAGCTTTAATCAAAACACAGAGACGTGTTATTCATTTTGTTACTATGCTCTTTATGTACTCAGGTTGTCAGAGAAAAGGGAGCGGCTCAGCGACAGGTGATAACCTGTTGGCGGGACACACCCACCGCACACACACACACACACACACGCACGCACGCACGCACGCACGCACACACACACACACACACACACACACACACACACACACACACACACACACACACACACACACAGTGGGACATTCTTTTCCTAAAACTCAAATAACCTGGCAATTTCTCACACAAACATGTGTAAACAGAACGTGTGCTCTGTTTGTTAAACCACATCAGTGGTGAAGGGTTTCTCTCAGGGACGTGCCCGTCCTGTAACACAGCGAGACGAGATGTTCCACCTGGGTGAGATCTGTCTGAATCACACAGCTTTCATTCATCTCGATGAACAGCTGACAACTGTGGACAGAAACACTGATTTCACAAGTCACCGCTGACATTCCTGTGTATAGATAGTGGTTTCCAACCTGGGGGTCACAAGTCTTTACTCTTCTGTAGACTTAACTGGATATTTCTAGCCTTTAACGACTATTCAGATGAAATGTCTGTCTTCGGTTTAACTGGTCAACACCCGTATACAAAGCAGCTGCTAGAGGGGTTCAATAGTCAACACCATTTTTGTTTTGGGCAAAAAAAAAGTTTGGAACCATAGTGCCAAAGCTGACCTGGTTTTTGGCCCCTCTTTGGATAAGCATGTTTCTCCACATACGTCATCATATAGTCTAATACAGTGATGACTGCAGGCCAGAGAGTTAGACTTCCATGTGTTGTCACTTAGATCTCCAACAGCATCTAACGTTTATATTCACATGTTTACAGAATGTGTCTGTTCAGTGCTATGATTCGTAACAAGGTAAGGAACACATAAGGAATACTTTCTATAGTAAGATGATCATCTTCTAAACATCTGCTCTTTCAGAAATGTTAGAACCTATCAGCTATTGTTATTCCTCTGCTATTCTCGAACTGCAAACATTTACAATTACATCCTTAGTGGATGGTACATTCATTCATATTAAGGGTCATAGCTGAAGTTATTAAGTATAACATGAAGCTGCTTATCCTTTGTATCTGATTGAAATATGATCTATTCACAGCCCTTACCAACGTTGTTTAAGTTAGTCAACAGTCCTGTTGTAAAAGACAGAAAGGAATAAAACAGAACAGAAAAAAAACCTGACAAGACAAAAACATAACAAACGAAACAACATTAGAATAGAGCAGTACTGAACACAAAATAGAACAAAAAGTACAACATACAGCAGATCATTAAATAGAACAAACTAAAACAGAGAAAAAGAAGAAAAAAAAGAAAAGACGAAAAGACGAAACAGAACTTTGAAAAAAAGAAAAGATAATAGAACACAACATAAAATAGAATAGAATTGAAATTAAATGAAATACAGCAGACCATAAATAGACTAAAATAGAACCTAACACAAATGAGAATTGAACAGAACCTTAAATAGAATAGAACGGACCCTTAATAGAACTAAATAGAACAGAACATAGAATAGAAAATAATAGAATTTAATAGAATTGAACGAAACATAAAATAGAACGGAATAGAATAGAACAGATATAATACAAATACACAGAACATCAAATAGAATAGAATGGAATGGAATAGAACAGAACAACATATTGAACAGAACAGAACATAGCAAAGAAAGAAGCAAACCATAAGAATAGAATAAGTCAGAAGATAGAAAGAACAGTATAGGGAGAAACATTAGATGAAAAATAATAGAGTAGAGCAGAACATAATAGAACAGTAATGGGAGAGGTTGTCAGTCTGCGTTGTCTACCTCTATATCCCCCAGTTTATTCAGAGCTATGTCCTCTCCGTTCAGTCTGTCCATGTTGCAGCCTGTCCCAGTGTCTCAGTCTGTCCCGGTGTCTCAGTCTGTCCCAGTGTCTCAGTCTGTCCCAGTGTCTCAGCCTGTCCCAGTGTCTCAGCCTGTCCCAGTGTCTCAGCCTGTCCCAGTGTCTCAGCCTGTCCCAGTGTCTCAGTCTGTCCCGGTGTCTCAGTCTGTCCCAGTGTCTCAGTCTGTCCCAGTGTCTCAGCCTGTCCTCTCAGTCTGTCCCAGTGTCTCAGCCTGTCCCAGTGTCTCAGCCTGTCCTCTCAGTCTGTCCCAGTGTCTCAGCCTGTCCCAGTGTCTCAGTCTGTCCCAGTGTCTCAGCCTGTCCCAGTGTCTCAGCCTGTCCTCTCAGTCTGTCCCAGTGTCTCAGTCTGTCCCAGTGTCTCAGCCTGTCCCAGTGTCTCAGTCTGTCCCAGTGTCTCAGCCTGTCCCAGTGTCTCAGCCTGTCCTCTCAGTCTGTCCCAGTGTCTCAGCCTGTCCCAGTGTCTCAGCCTGTCCCAGTGTCTCAGCCTGTCCTCTCAGTCTGTCCCGGTGTCTCAGTCTGTTCCAGTGTCTCAGCCTGTCCCGGTGTCTCAGTCTGTCCCAGTGTCTCAGCCTGTTCCAGTGTCTCAGCCTGTCCCTGTGTCTCAGTCTGTCCCAGTGTCTCAGCCTGTTCCAGTGTCTCAGCCTGTCCCTGTGTCTCAGGAGCAGCTCTCCCTGCTGAACATAATGTGCTGAGCTTTGGGGAGGAGACAGGCTCATCAAGTCATGCAAGTCCTCCACTCACAGGAACCCTCCCACCATGAGTCACTTTCCCTCTTCCAGAGAGCTGTTTTTTGAAAGGCAAACTTCTTGCTTTTGTTTTATCAGCATGTGTCCAGCATTAAGTCTCCAACAATAGAGAGGATTTAGTCTTTGAAATCATTATTGCTAATTCACAAAATGTGTCTCCTATGATCACGAGGGGAGAAGTAACTAAGAACATTTACTCAAGTACAATGTTTGTCTACTTTACTTATTTTACTTTAAACAAATTACTTGATTTCCCTTTTATGCTAATCCATACTCCACTACATTTAAAAGAAAATAATGTAATTTTACTCTATTAAATGCAGGACTTACTTGTTATTTGGACAATGTATTGGTCAAGTAAAGCATCCGAGTGCATCTCTGCCCAAGAACACTTAGTGACAAGTGCTGTTAAATATGGCTATTTTAGAATCAACAAGACTTAAGAACAGAATTTGAGAGGAATTATTCATTTGTATTAAACTATTTATTGGTCGAATTTATACCTTGTTTATTCCCCTCTCCAAGTCACATGAAATCTGGTTGCCAACCACCTACTGTATGTAATGATGGGTAAAAGAAGACACTTTTGGGAATTGTATTTGTGTCATTATTAATCAAGAGTAATTTAGAAACCTTTAGGGAACTTATTTTCAGTTAATAACATGAAATGATGCAAATATAGTATAGATCAAATAAAATAAACAGTAATGAAGTGACTGCAAAAATGTTAAGTTAGTTCTTCCATCCAGTGAAGTGGGGTTTAACCTTTAGATATTTGCATATACTGTATGTGTATGAAGTGTTTGCTTAACCAGATCAAGTTATTAACCAACATTTCCACATTTTTCTTCTTTTAAAAATACTCCACCTATGATAGACATGAAATGAATAGGGTGTATTGATATACATTTGAATTGAAGCTCAACCTCTTGTTGAACGGGTTCACACTGGTTGAAAATATGTTCCAGTCTCAATGTCTTTCTCACAAAATCAGCATGTGGTTTTCCCAATTAAAAGTCGTTAGATGGATAAATGTAATTCAAAAGAGTTTATCAAAAACGATTGAATCATTGTTTTAATAGGAACTGGGATGGCCTTAGTCACTTTATTGTATTCTTTGACAGAAAACGTATGGTTAGGCAGAACTTCTGCTCTTCCTCGGTCTGTAAGCCTTCTGCCGCAGAAGGAAGAGCTGTTTGGAAAATGGTGGGGGCTTTTAAAGCTCCCATGTCATGCTTTTCCGGTTATTACCCGTCCCCTTGTGTGTTATGAAGGTTTTTATGCATGTAAACGGTGTGCAGAGTCAAAACCCTCAAAGTACACCCTGTAGCGAGTAAAACTCTAACACAGAAAATACCTCCCCAAAACGCCTCGTTGGAGATACGTCACTGCCCATTTGATTCTTCCGGGTACCGCCTGATGTCATGCGGTACCCGGAACGAAATGGACCAATCCCGAAGAGCTATGGCCACACCAGCAGCGGCGTGTTCCTCCTCCAGAGGTTCGAAGAACCGGCATTTCACAGACGAAAGCTTCCAAAACATTGCCCAGTTTGAGGCCGGATATGCACAGCTTGTTTGGACCGTTTGGAGCAGGGGAAGATCCGGGTATACAACCTGTAAGTTTGCATTGTTATTTGTGTATTTATCAAACAAGACTGTTTAAATGTGTAAACTGTGTTGGACTGCTAAGCCATTGACACAGTGCTAACTGTGCTAACTAAGTTGCTAGAGTTTCCATATATCAACTCTAATATCAGCAGATGGTCTTGCATACATGTATCTCATAGCAGGAGAATGTCTGCATTCACACACAAAATACCTATTGACAGTATACTCCGGGTGATTTGCCGTGCGGTCAGTCGCGAAACGTAATTACATTATAGCTGGCGTAGCGTGTATGCAACCGATCTAACACACGGAGCTAGAGCTAGGTTTGGTCGGAAAAACATTTTTGTGATGCTACGTTGCTAGCGTTTAAATATATCAACTACAATGTCAGCAGATGGCCTTACATGTTTGTCATGGCAGGAGAATGTCTGCAGTCACACACACGGAATACTCATACAGTATACTCCGGGTGATTTACCGTACATTGTGACAGTACATATACTGCATGTAGCTAACGAGGCTAGCTGTATGCTAGCGCAAAACAATGTATTCATGCAAGTTACATTGTATGGTAGCAGAATACCCGTATACGATTGCAATTATAAACACGTTATTGCTAGCCTAATATGAACCACTAGCTTTTGTTCATAGTAGTTTTATTACACTGCATTATAGTTGCCTTTCCTCCAAGCTAACGTTCATATCGTGTTAGCTACCAAGGTAAACAAAGCTAGGTTAGCATATTAGCAGGCAAGCTGTTCATTACACAACTACTACTAACGAATCTAAAACAACTAAGTTTCTCTAATATTTTGTGATTTGCATTTGATTTCGTCCAGCCAGATCCTGGCGGACAATCCATGACGGGGACGGGACTTCTACTACTACTGAGGCCTCGTGCTAAAAGGCACCGCACCGGTTGTGCGCAGGCAAGATGCAAGGAGGAGGAATGGATGATATACCGTGTGTATATATGTATATTTATGTTCATTTTGTACATTTCTAAAAATAAAGTTTAATGGAAATACTTAGTAGGCCTATCCTTTCTTCCCTGAATTCATATATAGCAAACCATGATTTGATTTCTCATCAAACAGTAGTAGTTTATTACAGGTAAAAATAACTTACTCTTTGTTATGACCGGCTCGTAGGCCACAACGGAAAGGCAAGGAGACATACACGAGTTTACAAAACCACGGCACATTTATTGTGGTAAATGCAGAGATACGTGGTCGAGGGGAGAGGGTCGCTCAGTTCGTCCTTCTGCAGCCGCTTTGGAGAGAGACTCCGGGCCGCTGGGATTAATAGCACCGGCTACGGAGGTGTCCGTGATCGCGCTGATTACCCTCTTCAGCTCCACCCCACCGTAAGCCCTGCAACACACCTGCACAAAGGCCCTGGGGCCGTCACACTCTTCTATAACAACAGTTGTAGGTTCAGTTTGGTTAGTTGGCGTATAAAATATACGGCTGTACCGACGCCATGATAAGACTGATGTTCGGCTGAGAGCAGCCGTTTAGACATGGTGGTTGACTAATCAGAACAGAGTGGCCGAGCTGACCAATCGGAGCACACTAGGCTCACAGGGAGGGGGGGGGCAAGAGCTCCAACGAGTCGTTTAGTGGAGAAAGTGAATACTGCTGAATACACATGCTTGACAGAGATGCTGTATGCGAAACCAATGTGAGTTTGGAAAATTGCACAGTATAAATCTATTTTAGTATACCTCAACAATGTAATTATGATCAGTGGAAATGGCCATGACATGGGCCCTTTAAAGAAAAACAACTCTTTGGACATGTTTATGCTCACTGCAGGTAAAAAAGTATAATGGACACATTTTAATAAAAAAACAATGCAAGCTTTTCCTGAAAGTTGGTTATGTTGTTTATTCTCAAAAAGGCTGACAAAATTATGTTAAAGGAGAGGTGTCATGCTTTTCCGGTTATTACCCGTCCCCTTGTGTGTTATGAAGGTTTTTATCCATGTAAATGGTCTGCAGTAAAAAAAAAATGGGCCGTGCGGAAACAATAACCCCACCCATAGATCCGTGGGTGAATAATGTCAATCACCACACAAGCCCCCCCAGAATTCACCCATAGTCAAAATCCTCGCGTCTGGGAGGACGTACCACCCGACCCCGGCGCGTACGGACCACAGGGTCCGAGGAGGGCGGGACCGCAGGCGAGGGCAGGGGCAGGGGCAGGGGCAGGGGCAGGGGCAGGGGCAGGGGCAGGGGCAGGGGCGCCAACGAGGGCGAGGGCTCCTCCACAGGGGGCGGGGGGCGGGCCATGGGAGGGTGGCCCCGACGTGGCGGCAGAGCCAACTCCAACGGCCTGGAAATGTCCACGTGAGCAGGCTTAATCCGATCAATGGACACGATTTCAGGCCTGCCACCAACGTCCACCACCAGGCTCTTGTCCCCGTGATGTATGACCCTGAACGGACCGTCGTAAGGGGGCTGCAGGGGACCGCGGTGGGGACCGCGGTGGGGACCGCGGTGGGCACCGTGGCGAATAAAGACGAAATCCGCCGACCGTAATCCGGGGGACACCCGGAAAGCTGGGTTGCTGTGCTGCGACGTGGGGACGGGCGCGAATGTCCCGGCGGTCTCCAGCAGGGAGGAGCGCTGCCCGGCCGGGGACCAGGGCACAGTGGCGGTGGGGATGAAATCCCCGGGGACCCGTAGCGTCTGGCCATAGACGAGTTCCGCCTACGAAGACTGCAGATCTTCTTTGGGGGCACACCTGAGGCCGAGCATAACCCACAGAAGCTTATCCACCCAGTTGCCGCCTGTCAAGCCGGCACGCAGTGACGCCTTCATGGATCGGTGAAACCGCTCACACAGTCCGTTAGCCTG